CTCCTAAATCACTCGTACGCACAATTTAAGAACTAATCTGTGCGTACGAACGGTTCTTGCATGAGGCCCATTAGACTTTGAAATAAATGTTTCTGTTGAGTCAGACTTTTATTTAATTAAATTCAAACCAAATGTGAGTCATGAAGGACCTTTTTCCACTCAGTCCTGGCTTTCAGCAGTCTGAAACTCCTATAAGATGGTAAAAGCTAAAACTCTTTGTACAGAGCATTCAGTCAGCATTTGACCTTTTTTTTTTTGGTTAACATTTTTGGGGGTTTCTTATTAGGTTTGTGATGTTGTGGTGTTGAAGTTTTTTTGGTTCTTTGTGTTTCCACTGTGTTACTTCTGTGACAATGTTTGTGCCCCCTCAATCAGCCTGCCACACCCACTCTTGTTCTCAGCCTGTGTTCAGCTCATGTTTTCACTTGCTCATCACCCCCTGTATTTACAGTACAGACCAAAAGTTTGGACACACCTTCTCATTCAAAGAGTTTTCTTTTTCATTTCTATGAATGTTGTAGATTCATGCTGAAGGCATCACAACTATAAATTAACACGTGGAATTATATACTTAACAAAAAGTGTGAAACAACTGAAAATATGTCTTATATTCTAGGTTCTTCAAAGTAGCCACCTTTTACTTTGATTACTGATTCACACACTCTTGGCATTCTCTTAATGAGCTTCAAGAGGTAGTCACCTGAAATGGTTTTCCAACAGTCTTGAAGGAGTTCCCAGAGATGCTTAGCACTTCTTGGCCCTTTTGCCTTCACTCTGAGGCCATCTCACCCCAAACCATCTTGATTGGGTTCAGGTTCAGTGACTGGAGGCCAGGTCATCTGGTGCAGCACCCCATCACTCTCCTTCTTGGTTAAATAGCCCGTTCACAGCCTGGAGGTGTGTTTGGGTTCATTGTCCTGTTGAAAAATAAATGATGGTCCAACTAAACACAAACTGGATGGAATAGCAWGCTGCTGCAAGATGCTGTGGTYGCCATGCTGGTTCATTGTGCCTTCAATTTTAAATACATCCCCAACAGTGTRACCAYCAAAGCACCCCCACACRGTCACACCTCCTCCTRCATGCTTCACGYTGGGAACCAGGCATGTAGAGTCCYTCCGTTCACATTTTCTGTGTCGCACAAAGACACGGTGATTGGAACCAAAGATCTCAAATTTGGACTCATCAGACCAAAGCACAGATTTCCACTGGTCTAATGTCCATTCCTCATATTCTTTGGCACAAACAAGTTGTTTCTGCTTGTTGTCTGTCTCTAGCAGTGGTTTCACACAGTCTCCTCTTAACAGTTGATCTAGAGATGTGTCTGCTGCTAGAACTCTGTGTGGCATTGACCTGTTCTCTAATCTGAGTCGCTGTTAACCTGCCATTTCTGAGACTGGTGACTCGGATGAACTTATCATCTGCAGCAGAGGTGACTCTTGGTCTTCCTTTCCTGGGGCGATCCTCGTGTGAGCCAGTTTCTTTGTAGAGCTTGATGGTTTTTGCSACTGCACTTGGGGACACTTTCAAAGTTTTCCCAATTTTTCGGACTGACTGACCTTCATTTCTTAAAGTAATGATGGCCACTCATTTTTCTTTACTAAGCTGTTTTTTTCTTGCCACAATACAAATTCTAACAGTCTATTCAGTAGGACTATCAGCTGCGTACTGTATCCACCTTCTGCACAACACAACTGATGGTCCCAACCCCATTTTTAATGCAAGAAATCCCACGTATTAAAGGCACAGTGTGTAGGATTTTGTCAATTCTTTTAGCCAAAATTGAGATAATCACTAATGACAATAAAAAATAAGTTTAATCATTGCAGACAAAGACCTTCTTTTATTATGTTTACCTTATAAAAAGCTGTTTATATCTCCATGGTCGCGGGTCGCCACTACAGGCAGCCGCCATCTTGCACCGCCATCTTGTCTACGAAGGCTCATGAAGGACAAACTGCGGTGGCGGCATCAAAAACAGTTTTAGTTGTAATACTATAAATGTAATATTTGTTGTATGTCATTGTAGCTGGGATAATTTTACTTATTAAAGCTCATAATCTTACCATGTGAAACATCACTAGCCCTGAAGCTGCTGGTAGACATCGCGGTTGGAATTATCAAAGGTTTTTGACACCTGAGAGACACCGTAGCAACTCCTTTGCATTTGGAAGCGGGGGTGGGGGTGGGGGGAGGACCAGGGAGGATGATTCAACCACRCAACCACTAGATGTCGCTGAAAACAACAAATCCTACACACTGTGCCTTTAAACCTGACAGGGCAAACCTGTGAGGTGAAAACCATTTCAGGTGACTACCTATTGAAGCTCATCAAGAGAATGCCAAGAGTGTGTGAAMCAGTAATCAAAGCAAAACGTGGCTACTTTGAAYAACCTAMAATTTAAGACATATTTTCAGTTGTTTCATATATTTTGTTAAGTACATTATTCCACATGTTAATTCATAGTTTTGATGCCTTTAATGTGAATCTACAATGTTCAAGTCATGAAAATAAAGAAAAATATTTTAATGAGGTGTGTCCAAACTATTGGTCTGTACTGTTTATTCAGTCAGTTTATTGCTTTTTTTAAAATCTAGTGTTAAACTGGTGTAATACAATTCAAATTCTCAAAAAAGTTAGAATGCAAAACATTGACAAAAATGAATTATTTGAACATCTCAGAAACCCATATTTTATTCACATTGAAGTACAGTGAACATTTACTGTAAGTTTAAAATAAAATGTTACAATATTAATTAAAAAATAAACAAGTGACTTTAAATCTGGTAGCAGCAACAGGACTCAATAGCCTGGTCAGAAAAATATTAAGTACTGTGAAGCATTGTCTTTTCTTTTAARGACAGCCTGAAAACAACTTAGAACTTAGACCAGTTGCTGGAGCTTATGGAAGGGAATGTTCTGTTTTGTTTTTCCTGGAGTTTATTCATGATGCACTAAATGTTTTGTATTGCTTAGAGGTCTGAGCTGAGGCAGCAGTTCAGCACTAGGACTCTTCCATTTCAACGCCATGTTCTAAGTATATACTTCTACTTTTTACTTTATTTATTTTTTCTGTCTTTTATTTTAACAGAAGAAAATCATTGGAATAAAAACCTAATTTACAAGAGTCCCCTGGACAAGACTGGCAAAAGAAAAAAAAAAGGCTGCCTTATTGATACATTTTCATATGTGTAAGCTGTTCATGCCAGAGCCACTAATGCACATCCATACTATCAGCGAGACAGGCTATTGCAATTTGTGGTGACACCACGCTTGACTGTCCCTCTATTTAGTGGTTTCCATTAATAATTTGGAATTTGGACATGCCCTTTGGCTTCATTTCATTTTAAATGAGCTTTATCCCACAGTGAAGACAGCAGCATTTCTGGATGGTGTTCACATATGGCTTTATCTCAGCTTTAATCTGCATTTGTGGATGACACAGCAAATTATTTACAGATAATGGTTTGTGGAATTGTCCCTGAGTGTATCTGTGACGGCTGTAACAGAATCTAAACTGTTGCTAATGCAGTCCCTTAAGGACACAAAAGATCAGGGGAATCCTGTATTGATGTTGACCTTGTCCTTTGCACAGAGACTGTTTTCTGTATTCTTGAACTCTGTCGATGAAATGATGGAAATAATCTAAATCTTTTCAACTTTCTGTTAAGCAACATTGTGCTTTTGTACTATTGTGTTCTCTCTCTCTCTCTCTCTCTCTCTCTCTCTCTCTCTCTCTCTCTCAATTTTTGGTGCCCCTGTCCCAACTGTTTTGGGATGTGCCAATGCCTTCAACAGAAAAAAAAAAAAGTCCTGTTTTACTTTTTTTTTTAAAATTAAAATACTTAATTTAGACTTTCGATATTAATACTTTGGTTCTCTGCAAATTGAGCAACAATTGCATTGCTTGGCTCGGAAAAAAAAGGAAAAGTATATCGACCAATACTTAAATTCTAAAACCAAGTTTTATTTTTAGGTTTTTTTTATACTTTTTGTTTAAGCATCACATCTTTTCTTCCACCTTGAGAAAGTAACTGTGACTCTAGTTTGTGCCATTCAAACTTTGTATACTAACAAAAGCCTCTTCTCCTAAATGCTAATGTGATCTTTATCCAACCGTGCGATTGCCAAAAATTCAGCTCCGTCCAAAGAATTCATTCATAAAGACAAGGTCTTAACTGGGGGGGAGGAGGGGGGAGCTTTTTGTTGCTGTCTGCATTATTTGTTGCTGTGAGCGCTCTCACTCCTATTCTCATTCTAATTGTGGCGCTCCCTGTGTGTTTCTCCCATGGCAGCCTTGGTTTCCCTGAGTGAGGACCCCCAGCCTCTGCCTCAGCCACCCAGACAGCTAGCCAGCCTGAGAGGCACAGAGAGAGAAAGAGAGAGAGACAGAGGGGAAATGATGGAGGGAGGATGAGTCTGGAGCTCCATCCTCTGACCAATGTGTGAGTGGGAGAGCAAGAGAGAAAGAGGAGGAGGAGGGATGGGGCGTATGTGTACGATGGTGGTGGTGGGGTGTAAGTGAGGACTGAAGACGCTGAGAATGAATGGGCAGCAAGAAACACAGTGCAAGCAATAGAGAGAGAGAGAGAGAGAGAGAGAGAGAGAGAGAGAGAGAGAGAGAGAGAGAGAGAGAGAGAGAGAGAGAGAGAGAGAGCAAGCAAGAGAGAGAGCGAGAGGAGGAGTGAGAGTATTTTGAGAGTCAGCAGCGAGGACGCAGAAAGTCTACAAGCTCACATCACCACGAGAGCGCGTGAGGCAGAGCAGACACCCGGCTACTCTGACAACTGAGACACAGGACAAGAGCCCCAAAGAGAGAAAGAGAGAGACGGACACAGGAGGAAGAGTACGTAGAGGAAGAGAAGGACAGAGAAGACATCCATCCTTCCACCGGTAAAAAGAAGACACCACTCAAGGGACTGTAGCATCGTCCCCCTCCATCAGCGCACAAGGAATACTGTTCTCATCTTATGCATGTCTTTGTGCCTGCCAACTTCAATTTGCCACTGTTTTCCCCAGGTTTTACCCTCTTCCCCTCCGCAGTCATGATCCCTTGGCTTCTTTTGTTCCTGTGGATCTCCGGACATGGTAAGTTATTTATTTATTTCCCCATGTGAACTTAGTGATTACTCACATCTTGCTTGCTTGTGTTGGCTTGTGTGACTTTGCTGAGCTTGGAGCTGTGTCTCTCTCTTGATTACCTTTCTTGGTATGACGTTTGAGCTTTGGGTCCTTACTTTACATCAACTGTAAATCTCGTGTGCACAAAGCAAGGAAGAAACAAACGAACAAGGTGCCGGGAAAAAGTCACTGGAAATGGGTGACTTGCAGCATGAACTTCCCTCTGTCTGCTTTCAGGAGCTGACAAGTTAAATACTTCCTATGTGGGCTTAAAATTCCTGTCACACACACATCCAAACAAAGCCCTTTAACCCCAGTCTAGTTCAGTCAAGCGTTCATTCTAAAGTCGCATTGTTTTGAACTGACAGCCCTTCCCCTTTGAGTCCAGCTATCAGGAATGAGGGGCTCATTCTTGGAAAACAAAGAAAAAAGGTTACATCTGAGGGTAGAAGGATGAGTGTAACTCATCAACTCTTTGGACTGGATGTGCTGCTATTTCCATTCCTAAACAGTTTGTTTACGGGTTGAACAATGATGGGTTAGTTGTTTCCCCCTGATTGCCACCAGGTGGTTATCTTTAGAAAACAATGAAAGTGAGTAAAGTGCAACGGAACTCTGCGGCTTGTGGTGCTGATGCGATGTGCCGAGGCACTCCGGTGGGCTGAAAGCGAGGCAGTGGCCGTTTGTCAATTTGCAGCATCCCGTCAACTCCTGGTTCATGCTGCTGCACTGAGGGTCAGCGGGTCAATGACAAAAAGCCACCACTTCGCTTACAAGTTGAAACCCTGTCAGTCTGGACTCCGTTCTCCTGAAAGGGAACTGAGTGAATAAATGTGTGTCTCTGCGTGGTTCTTATTAGAGAGCTGTTTCCCAGAGTGAGGAGTTGTAACTTTTTGTTGTTGTTGAGAGTCTGAACCAGAATAAAATACAGAGACTAAACTGTGTCTCGTTGTTTTAGAGATGTGGCTTTGTTGACTTTTTTTTTGTGATAACTCACAGCTCGGAGTTGGTTACGTGCTGCTAAAACAGCGGCGGCAAATGAAACTTGGTAAACAAGATCATTTTCTTCATCGCTGACTTCAGCTGTTCTTCGTATTGATTTATAGTCGGTGACATGAAATGTTCCTCGTGAAGTGCAGCGAATTTGCTGCGAATTTGTGTTTTCTGCTGACTAAAAACTCATGTAAAAACAGAAGATCATTCATTAGGGACGGAGCTTTTAAATCGAACTCAGCATCTCTGGTGCTTTAACAGATCTGTTTTTTCTTTTTTTTCTTTCTTTTTTCTCTCAGGACTGAAAAATTGTTGAAGTTAAGCCTGAACCAGGGAGTCAGCTTCCCCGTTGTTGTTTGTGTTCTGGGACAGTTTTAGTCCATCACACACGCGACTGTAAATGCTGCTTCAGCTGGATCCCCCCCCCCCCCCCCCACACACACACACAATTTCATTGTCAAGTCTTTCCGTGCCATCTGTGCTTACTGTGCTGCAGAAATTCACGATCAGTCATTAGTCTCTCCTCTTCCACTCCGTTAAGCATCTGCTAAGTTTTGCTTCCACCGCTGCAATTTTCCGCTGCCGCGCTACTTTCATTTATTGCAAGTGTAAAGCATTGCATTCCTTCATAATTATGCTGGACTCTAAAACCTGCTGCTTCCATTTATCAACGCACAGCCCAATTTGCTTTGCTTTATTAACCTGCGTTCATCACATTTTCATCTATATATCATCGCAGGTTTAGTCCCACTTCGGGGAACACCGAGCCTCGTTTAGTAACAACTAGATTGCTTCAGCTGGATTGAAATGGGATCGCTGCGCATTCCAGCAAAGTCGGTTATTGGTGTAATATAAGATACCACTTTTATTTATTTATGTGTTCCTCTCCTCTGGCAGGTACACATAAGATAACAGCCAGCACTTTATTCTTTGCATTCCTCTGGGGAGAACTACTGTAAGTACCCCACCCCACTCAAAAAAAAAAAAAAAGAAAAAAAAAGCTTACTGTTGTACAAATTACGGCTCTGTTTATGTGTCGAGTCCGTGTCAGCAGAAAGCTCTTGTGAAAGAAAAAAAAAAAAACACAATTTATAAACACAAGGGGAAAGGGAGATTTGCGGTCGTAGCTTTCACATACTTAAACATCCTGTGAGACGAGCACAAAGCAAGCGCGACAATGCGAGTTAGAGAGTCCAAGTAAAGAAGCTGTTTTTTTGTTTGTTTTTGTTTTTTCTTCTTCACAGCTTTGAGAACTAAATGCTCCAAAATGAACACATTGATAGGAAAAAGGCAGAACAGAGAAAGGAAAGGTGTTTGATCTGTTCTTCGTGCCGACTGGGCTGTTAGCACCTCTCCTTACTGCTGTCACCTCTCCAGCCGGTGACAGATGACACAGCACCGGTGGCTGAGGATCAGGGAGACAAGGCTTGAGGAACATATTCACCTCAGGCCAAACTTGTCCAGCACAGCGGTTGTCCAAAACCACCACCTCCTCCTTTCTCCACCCACCAATCCTTACATCTCGCAATCTTAACTCACTCCTGGTGTTAGGATTTAACCCTTTACCTTGCAGTGTTCCCTGCGATCTTTTCCACACTGTCTTTTTCTGCTTCTGTCTTTTTTCCTTACATATAAATATATTTTTTCATTCTGATTTGTCATCTCTGAGTGACTGAGTGCCCTGTTTTGGTGGGTGAATGTGTGAAATAAAGGAGAATGTGAAATTGCTGTTAGGAAGAGCAGTTTAAGAATAGTCTTGTACTGACTTTGAAGAAATGCACAGGAGGGAAGAAAAGCCTGTCGTCAGTGTGAAGTGTTTTATGCCCGACCTCTTTTTATTTTCCTGCTTTAAATCTCGTTTTGTAATTAAAGGCCTAACATTTCTTAAAGGGATACCAATTCCCTGTCCTCTTTCATGCCAGAGTTTTAGACTAAGATGAAATAAGCTGATGTTTCCTTAAAATTGATATTGTTTGTTATCTCATGCAATTATGTGAGATTTGGCCTTATTGGTTAATGCAAGCCATGACCACGTCAGGCATTGACTCAAAATCTGTAAGATCAATTGTGGTATAGCTATTTTTAACTAAGCTAAAGTAGATTAGTAGTAGTGGCCATTTTTAAATTAGGTCAACTCCAAAAGGTATAACTTACAGCTACTTTTTGAGAGTTTTATTCAAACATATTCTGGCATTCATCTGATATTTTGCTAATAGACAAACAAAATTAACTCTAACAGTTATTGCCAAGATTTTAAACAAAATATGTTGCACCATGTATTACAATCAAAATACGTGCCGGAGACGAGCTCAGTCATCCGGGCAGGACTTAGAGTAGAGCTGCTGCTCTTCCACGTCGAGAGGGGCCAGTTGAGMTGGCTCGGGCATCTGGTAAGGATTCCTGGTGAGGTGTTCCAGGCATAAGCAGAAGAAAATGGATAGATGGATGGATGGACAGTGCTCAGCTATTACCAAATATTTTAGGACAAAATTGCTGGAAAGGGTTTTCAAATGGCTGTCTTAATCAGTTTTTGATTCAAATTCATGTATTACTAAATGAAAGTGTCATTGAAATCCATCCAGTGTTTTCTTTTTCTTTCTTTCTTTCTTTCTTTCTTTCTTTCTTTCTTTCTTTCTTTCTTTCTTTCTTTCTTTCTTT